CCCTCTACGCACCCTGAAGTGGCTCTCCCGGGAGGACCCTTTGGCCACGTACATCCTGCTCTTCTCCGTCTGGAGCTGCTCGTAGAAGGGTTCATCCAGCGTGAAGCTGTCCATCAGGTCGCAGCCCACATACAGGCTGTAGGTCTCACCCGTCACCTGCACCGTGATGTTCTTCCACTGGGAGTCGGCCAGGCCCACATCCTCTAGGGAGATGACGTGCTGCATCCCATCCACCCAGTAGATGAGGTCCAGCGTGTCGGCCGGGCCATTGGAGATGACTTCGAACTGTCGCTGTGCGGTGCCCGGGCCCTCCAAGGCCAGCAGGGTGCCCCGGGACTTGCGGTCCTGCTTCAGGCTGGCCACCAGGAAGAAGCCCTCCTTCTGTCGCATCATCTTGGCCATCTTGCTGAGGTCATCAGCTTTCACCGGCGGGATATAGTCAAAACGGACGAACCGGTATGCCGGCACGCTGGGGTCAGGCCCTCGGAACTGCTTGACACCAATGGTCTTGCGGTTTATGTTGCTGATACTGAAAAGGTTGAAGGAAGCACCATCATCTCGGTCAGCAGCTGCCAAGGGAACAGTGGCAAGGAGGTTACGAACAAACAGCAGACAAGGGCATGGCTGGTCTTTCTTTACAATCAGATCACAATTCTACAGGCAACAAATGCATGCAGTCATCCAATTTTTTTTTGGGGGGGTGCTTTACATGAAAGTTTAAAATTCAAGTTAGTTTCTCATACAAAAATTTATACACACATTGTTATATGACCCTAGTTGCTCTCCCTATACTGTGACAGCACACTTCTCCTTTCCACCCCGGATTTCCCGTGTCCATTCAACCAGCTCCTGACCCTCTCTGCCTTCTCATCTCACCTACAGACAGGAGCTGCCCATTTAGTCTCATGTATCTACTTGAGCTAAGAAGCACACTCTTCATGAGTATCATTTTATGTCCCACAGTCCAGTCCAATCTTTGTCTAAAGAGTTGGCCTTGGGAATGGTTTTAGTTTGGGGCTAACAGAGAGTCCAGGGGCCATGTCTTCCGGGCTCCCTCCAGTCTCAGTCAAATCATTAAGTCTGGTCTTTTTACTAGAATTTGAGTTCTGCACCCCACCTTTCTCCTGCTCCATCCGGGACTCTCTGTTGTGTTCCTTGCCAGGGCGGTCATTGGTGGTAGCCAGGCACCATCTAGTTCTTCTGGTCTCAGGCTGATGGAATCTCTGGTTTATGTGGCCCTGTCTATCTCTTGGGCTAATATTTTCCTTGTGCATTTGGTGTTCTCCATTCTCCTTTGCTCCAGGTAGGCTGGGACCAATTGATGCATCTTAGATGGCTGCTCGCTAGCTTTTAAGACCCCAGCTGCCACTCACCAAAATGGGATGCAGAATCTTTTCTTAATAAACTTTGTTATGCCAACTGACTTAGATGTCCCCTGAAAGCGTGGTCGCCAGACCCTGCCCCTGCTACTCTGTCCCTCAAAGTGTTTGGTCATATTCAGGAAACTTCTTAACTTTTGATTTAGTCCAGTTGTGCTGACTTTACCTGTATTGTGTGTTGTCTTTCGCTTCACCCAAGATAATTCTTGTCTACTGTCTAGTTGGTGAATACCCCTCACCCTCCCTCCCCACTCTAGTAACCATCAAAGAATATTTTCTTCTGGGTTTAAACCTTTTCTTGAGTTCTTATAATAGTGGTCTTATACAGTATTTGTCCTTTTGTGACTGACTAAATTCACTCAGCATAATGCCTTCCAGATTCATCCATGTTATGAGATGTTTCATGGATTCTTCATTGTTCTTTATCATTGTGTAGTATTCCATTGTGTGAATATACCACAATTTGTTCATCCATTCGTCCACTGATAGGCACCTAGGTTGCTTCCATCTCTTTGCTATTGTGAACAGTGCTGCAGTGAACGTGGGTGTGCATATATCTATTCATGTGACAGCTCTTATTTCTCTAGAGTCATCCGAAAATTTACTGCTTCTCTTCTTTCCTTACAAGAATTGCAATGCTATATTTTAAATAAAGCCACTATCATCTATCCTGGAGTCCCTGGGTGGAACAAACAGTTAACTTCTCAATTACTAACCAAAAGGTTGCTGGGTGGAATTCACTCATAGGTGCCTGGGAGGAAAGGCTTGACAATTCACTCCCAAAAGGTCATAGCCATGAAAACTCTGCGGAGCACAGTTCTATTCTGCACACATTGGGTCACCATGAGTCGGAATCAACTTGATGGCTACTGTAGGTAGGTATCGTCTATCCCAGGACTACTAACATGTGTCCACGGAATTGCTGCTGGCCCATGAAGGCAGTTTCCATCCATGAGGACTTGAAGGGCTTGTGTCCGAATGTCAATCAACAAACCTCACCAAGAATACAGTCTAGCTCTGCTGGCATTTTCCAATGCAAGACTTTCTCGATGAAGGAAGCAATGATTGACTTAAGCTCTGGCACAACTTCTCTGCCTTGTCGCACACCAGGAGTTTGAGCCGCACTGATTCTTCCTGTTCTTGTTGTTTATTCCAGAACTAAATCTAATGGCAACTCTCCTCCCTACCCTTTGATTGCCCAGAAAAAGAAAAGAACATTCCAGAAAATAAATGCATATTTATCTTTGAGACTGATGAATTTTCAGAAAGCAACTAAATTACATGCTGCTTTCTCGTAGAGGTCATCTGAGGTAAACAGTTATGTCGACATGCTATGGGTGAGAATCTGAGGCAATCATTGGGCGCAGGGCATTCTTGGCAGAGATGCACATTTTACCCTTGCAGTGGTTAATTTTACATGTCAGTTTGGCTGGGCTAAGGTTCCCAGTGGTTTGACCAAACACTAGTCTAGCTGCTGTTTCGTAATGTAACGTAATGTGATATAGTCTAATCACCTTCCACAATTGATTAATGTGATGCAATCACTCAATCAGTTGAAAAGGAAATTTTCTTGGGATGTGTCCTGCCTTCAGACAATAAATAGATAAATCTCTCTTTCTCTCTCTCTCTCTCTCGACTCTGCACTCTTTCGGTCACCTCACCTATAGATTCTGGGCTGCAAGCCTACAGAAGTCTCTAGCCTACCACCTGACCTCCATAATCGCGTGATGCATGAGCCAATCTCTTGAAATAAATCTCAATCTATCTCTCTCTGAACCCTGAGTAAGACAATCCTCAATAAATGAATGGTTTTAAGTTACCATCTAAGCTACTGGCAAGAAAAGTTACCAAACTTTACCAAAATCATAACAGTTTAAATAATTCAAAATAATTTACTCTACAAGAAGTTTAAACAAAGCTGAACATTTCATCTAACACCTGAGAAGTTAAAACATTAAATGCACAGTGTTGGTGATAGAAGTACGAATCGTGCAACTTTCTGGTAAGCTATTTGGCAATATGCCAAAAATCTTCAAAATAATTAAAACCTTTGGCTCAGCAATTCTACTTTTGGAACATATCCTAAGGATATAATCATAAATTTCTAATGATTTATTCACAACAATATTTATTGTAGCATAATTTATACTAGTGAAAATAAAAATAATATAATGGAAATTGGTCTAAAAATATTGGGATTTCTCCCTTTGATGGAATACTATACAGTCATAAAAAATGATGCATAAGAAAATTAACACATGGGAAAATATTTATGATACACTTTAAGTGAGAAGACAGTGGGAAGAAAATAAAAAACACCAGATATTTCCAGTGTCGTAAATACAGGATATAGAAAAAAATGGCTAAAACGTGCAGAGAAAAGTGTTGTGTCTCTAGGTAGAAGGGTATTTTTCTCTAATACCTGAATTTTCCAAAATCAATCATTTCAAACTATATGTACTCAAAAAGTAAATTATACTATATTTGAAAAGAAGCTAACAAATTCTAGCAGGTTGGGTTTATTTTGTTTAGTCAAGCCGTACGCCACATGCCCAGCTAGCGACCAGGCTCTCGGAACACTCACCAAGCAAGGTGGAAGACGCCCACAAAGCCAACAGGGCCAGCCTCCAGAACATCCTGCCTCCTAGGAGCAAATCAAACCCTCGTTAGTTCTGAATACGTAACTGCAACGCTTAGTGCAGACTGTCATTTTTACTCATACGGCCGTTTAAATATTGTTGTCCTTGAGTCAGCCCCCGACTCGTGGTGACCCTGCGCACAATGAAATGAAACACTGCCCAGTCCTGCGCCCTCGCCACGATGGGTCATGGATGGGACTGTGGTGATCCACAGGGTTTTCACTGGCTGATTTTCAGAAGCAGATCACCAGGCCTTTCTTCCTAGTCCATCTTAGTCTGGAAGCTCCGCTGAAACCTGTTCAGCATCATTACAATATGCGAAGCCTCCAGTAACGGGTGGGGGGTGGCTGCACGTGACATGCATTGGCCGAGGATCGAACCCAGCTCCCCTGAATGGAAGGAGAGAATTCTACCATGGAACCACCAATGCTCCATATTTAAAAATAGTTACATTCAAAAACCAGAAATAAATGTATCTGTGGGAAACTGAAACGTAGAGAAGAAATGTGGTTTTGAAATGAGATTCTCCTAGCTGTAGGTGCTACTTGTTGGGCTGGTACTTATTGACCAGCGCTGTGCTCACTGCATTCCAAATAGTTGCGTTACTTAATTATCATAATGACATATGAAGTAAATACTAGTATCCCCGTTTGACAGATGGGTAAGTGAAGACCTTGCCCAGAGTACTGCTGCCCATAAGCAGTGTCGCCAGGACCTTTAACCCAGGAATCTGAATTTAAAAAAAAAAAAGAATCCATCCTAGTGAAAAATAATACATTAAAGCATTTTAAGTAAATAGCCAAGGAAAAAAGTGACGTATAAGTTAATTAAATAAAATAAATATTGACTGCATTTGAAAGTAAGAAGTTAACTTAAGTTGGTATGTCATACTTATGAAAACCATAACGTTTTACCTAGCAATAATTTACCCTGCTTTTCTGTTTTCCTCCAGGCCTGTTTTTCCATTCTAGGGCTTTTAGCTGGCGTGGTCCCACAGCACTGCGCCGGGAGTCAGGAGCCTGGGCTGCAGCCAGCCTGCAGTGTTAACCCCTGCTGGACTCGGTCCTCATGTCAGCCACACGGATGTGGAGACACGACTCCTTGGTCCTTCCAGAAACACCCGTGTGCCGCCTTCTAACTTAAAGCTAAAGCTTAAATCTCATTCCCCACACATTTGTAATAGTAAAGCTCATCGTCTTCTTGGTGATAAAGAAGACTCCCTCTTCAAAAATATTTGGTTAATTGGAAATGTCACCTCTCAGGAATGGAGAAATATTCCAGAAAGAAAGGAGAGTGTCCTGCAGGACCCCTAGGTTGCCTCCCAGATCAAGAGTTGTGTTTTACACAATGCAAGACACACAAAACACCATAAAGTTGCCTTGCACTGAACTCGACCTATTCCATGGCAGGTGGCAGGAGTGCACAGGGCTTATGCCCCAGGCTGCCTGGAGTCAAAGCTTAGCCTGTCAACTGTATAATCTAGGCAAATTACTTAACACATCTGTGCCTCAGTTTCCTCATCTATAAAATGAAAATGAGCAACAACAACAAAAAAACCCAAACCCACTGCCATCAAGTCGACTCTGACTCACAGCGATCCTACAGGACAGAGCAGAACCGCCCCATAGGGTTTCCAAGGCTGTAATCTTTACAGAAGCAGACTGCCACATCTTTCTCCCACGGAGAGGCTGGGTTTCAACTGCCGAACTTTCAGTTAGCAGCTGGGCGCTTAACCACTGAGCCATCAGACCTCCTTAGAATGAAAATAGTCATTAAAAATGTCTGCCTCATAGGGCTATTATGAGAAATAAATGAAGCAAATGAATATTTGTAAGATGCTTAGGATATCATATAGTACAGCAAGCAAATTATGGTGTTGGCAAAGAATATAAAATATATCATGGACTGCCAGAAGAATGAACAAATCTGTCTTGGAGGAAGTACAGCCTGAATGCTCCTTAGAAGCAAGGATGGCGAGAATTTGTCTCACATTCTTAGGACATGTTATCAGGAGGAATAAGTCCCTGGAGAAGGACATCATGCTTGGTAAAGTAGAGGGTCATCAGAAAATAGGAAGGCCCTCAATGAGATGGACCCACACAGTGGCTGCAACTACGGGCTCAAGTATAACCGTAATCATGAGGATGGCGCCGGACTGGGCAGTGTTTCATTCTGTTGTCCACGAGGTCGCTGTAAGTCAGAACCTAACAAAAACTAATCACAATACCAAGCATGCAAGTATTTGTGGAAAAAACCATACACCTACATGTCTTGAATGCTTTCTACTATAACTTTTTGATGAAGTAGTAGTAATAATAATAATGTTAATAAGGCCTCCTTATAGGTTTTGTAAGATGATTAAATGAAATGAGTAAACACCTATGCTTAGAATAGCACCTAGCACACAGGAGCGCCACAGAAGTGGTTTTAAAGGAATAGTGGGTGGGCAGGGCACATCTGGAAGGCTTCTGCTGGGTCCTCTGACCGTCTGGCAGACGTGGGCTGTCTGGGGATCTCCTCACTGGCTCCAGTATACCGCTTATTAAAATTACATTCCCCAGAGACAGCTCGGAGATCGCTGGCTCTGGTAAAGTGCGATCCGTCCAAAAAGTGAAGTTCAAAGTTCTAGGCGCTCAGATCCCTGAGCTAAGGCTTAAATAGAGTAACCTGAATTCAGTTATTCCTAAAGTCAGGTCACCGTGTGTCTCTGACTGGGGCGGGCTCCTTTAAAGGTCAAAGTGTCCGGAGACTGTTACTTGTTGGTGAGTCATGGCCCTGTCTTATCTCACAGGATTGTTACAACAGTTACAACAACAAAAAATAATCAAACACACTGGTGTAGCTGTTACAGCCTCACTGCGTGCAATGTCAGACACCGTAAGATCCGTATTGTAGACACACAATGAGATCCAATCATCCTCATGACCGTGCCTACGCTTTCACTTTCCCACATTAATATGTGTGCTCATGGTTGTATATTTCCAAAGGAAAAGAAAGCCAAACCTTTCTTCAACAGAACTTCACCAGAACTTATAAAGCTCTTTTCAAATTATTTTTATACCAATAACCAAAGCAAAAAATAACTTCAGTGGGAGATACGCATTTACTTCCATCAAGAGTTCCACAAATTGCACTTACTGGCAAATAAACCCAACTTTTCATCAGCAGGACCAGCTACCTTTTAATATGCAAATCACTCTCAAAAAGTTTAAAGACAACTGTATTCCATGACAGTAATAGCACTTTTCATAGACTGACTTCTACTTTAATGACACTTAGAATTAGAGTCACTGTAATCTCTGATTCCTTTTCATGTTCACTGGAACATGGTTCCTCATTTTTCTCTCAGAGTCCCGCTCAATAACAAACTAACGCAGAGTCCCTCGCTCTGAAGCTGGACATGCAGGTGTTCACACAGGTCCCAGGCGGCATAAAGTATGGAAATGGACCAGGAGTCACTCAGTAGGAGCAAGAGCCAAGGAGGGAGAGCACGTGAGTAAGAAGTTTACCAGGAGCTTGCTTGCCTCAACTCTTTGATTAAGTAGTGAAAACACACTGCAAATGGACTGTTGCTGCTGAGGTGTTCACAGATATACCACCCACCCTAAATTACAAGTCCACATTATAGGTTTTCCTTCTCCCTCTTAGAAATTAAGAGAAACTTTTTAAAAAGCCATCATACAATGACATGATTTGGTAAATTAAAAAAAAAAAAAGAAAAAAAAAACCTTACCTGGTCTCTTGATGACTGACCGACGTCCCGAAGCAAGTCCAGAAGGACTGACGGCCGAGGAGTGGGAAGGCTCAGTGCGGCCCCTCTGTGCACATGGCCCGGCTCTGGTGCTGCAGGCAGCTCCTCCCTTATATGCGCCTCTTGTCAGCCAGACACAGGGGACGCCGCTTGATACATCCCTCGGAGGGCTGACATCATCCGCATCCCGATCCCAGCATTTGCTCCGGTACCTGGAGCAGAAGGCCAAGTCCAGCCCTCGCCTGGGCGTCCCTTCCTCTCAGCCCTGGTGCCAGAGGGGCGGGAGAGACAGAGAGGGACAGCCGTACTCAGTCTCCTTGTCCTGCTCAGGAAAGAAAAAGGCTCTAAATAAAACTTGCAGGCTTGTCTGGAACTCCCCTTGTGCTGAGGAGGAAGAATGCAAGCACTGTGCTTGAAGCCTGCTTCAAACTGCCAGATGCAATCACGGCCACTCTAAGCCCAATAAGCAGAGATCAGTAAGGCACAGCGGGATTAGTGTTCACAGATCATTAGCCTAGGTATTGATGAAGCTGTCCACTGAATGGATTCGGTTTATCATGTGCAAAAAACAAGACAGTTCATCTAAAAGAAAGTCTGCTGACTTTCTTTCAGAATGTTAGATGGCTAAGAAGTAGTTTTGCAGCTTTGGGGAGTTCATTTTACTTGAAAGCCTGCTCCGTCCACTGGCACCAACCCCATGCGCTGAAGTTCGCTGCAGACACCTCGGTGCGCGGGCGAGCCCGTGCAGAGTGTAATCTCACAGCAGCAGGAAGCAGCCCGTCACCAGCTCCTTCTCTCGGTTAGAGGGACAGTTGGCCGTGCGACTTTGCAGGATAAAGACGAGAAGCTAAAATAGAGCAGCAACTGGTCTCCACGCTCCCACCGCTGGCTCTCAAACACTGGGTCCCTCCTGGGCGGTGGACAGGAGGACAGTGGACAGATAGACACATCACCCAGCTGGGCACAGGCTTCGGTTCTGGGCGGGCAGCACCCAGGGTGCCATGTTCTGTCTGGGGCTGCTGTGTCTGGGGCAGGACAAAGGGCAAGTCTCAACCAGAGACAGTTAAAGAGAGCATGCCTAGAGGGCGCCATCGGACCCATGTCCTTGGCAGGGGACTGAGAGAGACAGAGAAAAGGAGAGAGACAGAGATTGGAGCTGTGCAGGACGCTGCTGTTGCTTCCTCTCTAGCATTCCGGGAACGCTTTTTACTCATGGCCACTGTCTATTTCCCACCCACTGGACAGCATGGACATTTGATGCAGACGGGAAAGGCCGCCAGTCTCAAAGAATGTCCAAGATAAGAAGTTAGTATCTTCTGACGGTCAGCAAGTTGGTGGCAAAGTCATCATTTGAATAGAAAAGACTGCGTTCTAATTGACGTAACCAAATCGATAGGTTATCTCAGATTCCAAAGAGGGATGTATAACCCAGGTTTCCTCAAAGAATTCTCCAAGGACAACTGCCAGTTCATCAGTTCGTCTTTGCTCACAGGCTGGCCATCCCTGTGATCAGAAAGGGAAGGTTTCCTGCTCGGCCGCGCCTGTTAAAGCTGTTAAGTGTTCATTCCACATTTACTGAGCAGGACTGCTGGAGACAAAGCCTCCAGGAACGTGCGGGAGGAGAAGGCCTGCCTGCATAGCCAGTCGGAGAAGTAGGCTGTGGACAGAGTAAGTAAGCAGGCTGTGTCCAGGAGGGCAGGCCAGCACTCTGGGCCCCGAGAAGGGGCAGTGCTTCCCAGGGGAGAGTGCCCCTTCCCCCCAGGAGGCTTCTCAGAGGTGCAGAACTGAGCCAATGGGAGCGGGACAGGTCGGGGGAGAGTTGTCCCCCACCCAAGAGGCTTCTCGGAGGAGCAGAACTGAGCCAATGGGAGCGGGACAGGTGGGGGGAGAATTGCCCCCCCCCCCAGGAGGCTTCTCAGAGGGGCAGAACTGAGCCAATGGGAGCGGGACAGGTGGGGGGAGAATTGCCCCCACTGCAGAAGGCTTCTCAGAGGGGCAGAACTGAGCCAATGGGAGCAGGACAGGTGTGGGGAGAATCGCGCCCCCCGCAGGAGGCTTCTCAGAGGGGCAGAACTGAGCCAATGGGAGCGGGACAGGTGGGGGGAGAATTGCCCCCCCCAGGAGGCTTATCAGAGGGGCAGAACTGAGCCAATGGGAGCAGGACAGGTGTAGGGAGAATTGCCCCCACTGCAGAAGGCTTCTCAGAGGGGCAGAACTGAGCCAATGGGAGAGGGACAGGAGTGGGGAGAATCCCCCCCCCCCGCCCCAGGAGGCTTCTCAGAGGAGCAGAACTGAGCCAACGGGAGCAGGACAGGTTGGGGGAGAATACTGCAGGTGGAGAAAACAAAAAAAACCCTTGCCCTTGAGTCAATTCTGACTCCTAGCGACCCTGTAGGAACTGCCGACCTTTTGGTTAGCAGCTGTAGCTCTTAACCACTGCACCACCAGGTCAGGTGGAGAGGCCACACAAAGACGCTGAGTGGGAACTGACGGCCTGTGAGGGAAAGCTGAGCAGGTCTACAGAGCAGGGTTGACAGGGAGCCGGGAAGGCTCCACCTCAGGTGTGTGGGGCATACCTGTGGGTGACAGAATGACGAGAGATGTTGGCACCTTGATGGAAGCGGCACTCTGCAGCCATACTAAGTGCAGACGGATTGGAGGGCAGAGGGGAGAGGTAAGGTCCTGCTCAGCTTCCCTGGGGCCCCTCAGAGCAGGGCAAGGGGAAGTGGTGAGCAGCCAGGGCACAGAGGCCCTCCGGGAATGAAGACACAGGCTGGAGGGAAGCACTGGTCTCAGGCACGGGGAAAGCACGTGTCGGAAGACAGAGAGGGACAAGAAGAACTCACAGGAGCACATGAGGCACAGACACACCGTCAGGTTCCCCAAGCTGCCATTGTCACACTGTGTCTAAAGCACAGAACGCAGCCTGCAGATCCACCTTCTCGCTAGAATTCCTGTAGGAGGTGACGCGCTCTGATCTGAGGGCCATGTAGCACGGAGGGCAGACAGAGGAAGGACAGACCCATGAGGACAACAGGACGGGAGACCAACGGGGAGCTGTGATTTCAGGCCTGGCCTGTTGCTGTGTCCACCAGCTCTGGGGGGCACGCAAGGGCATGGTAAGCAGATGGACGGTTGGGCAAAGCCAGGAGCACAGCGAGTGCCTCAGATGACAGACGGAAAGCTCTGGGTGGGCTGGAAACGGCCTAACCTGATCACTGTCCAGACAGGGGTCAGGTAGTTCTTGATACAGACCAGCCAGACAAAACACCCAACATGGGGGCGACTGAGACGTACAAATGGCACAGGGGGTGGGGGACTAGGCAGAGCTCAGCTCCGGATGGCCTCCAGGACAGGCTGCTCCTGACGCCCAGCCTAGGCAGACAGGACAGGGGCACGGAGGCTGGCGGCCAGGGGGCCGGCCGGGGGCAGGGCCACATCGGTGAGTGTGAGCATTCTGGGTGAGCCGGTCAGGTCTGCAGGCTGGAGGATGGAGGCAGCAGGCCATGGGGGCCACGGTCTGGACGTGGATTAGCAGCCGCTGAGAAACAGGCCTGGGAGCCAGCTCCAAGCAGCCAGAATCACGTGCTGACCCGTGACCAGCAGGCGCGGCCTGGGCTGAGCGTGCACCTGGGGGTCAGACAGGCAGAGCTCGGGCTGGGGGCCGGCAAGAAGCACCAGCCCTGAGCTCGGGACAGGACACGAATAGAGCGCCCCTGGCCCCTGCAGGTCCGACTGCCTCCGCAGGGTGCACGGAGGTGCGCGGGGGTGCGAGGAGAGGTACGCAGGGGGCGCGCGTGGGGGGCAGAAGAGTGCGGAGGAGGGCGCAGGGGTGCAGAGAGGCGCGGAGATATGCTGGGTGCACGGCATTGACTGAGGAGAGTGGAGGGGGCCGGATGGGCGCCGAGGTGGGCGGAGCAGATTCAAGGGGCGCGGAGGAGGCGGAGGGGTGCAGAAGTAGGGGTGCACAGGGACCGCGTGTCAGGCAAGCCGCTTGCATGAGCAGGGCCCGCGGGCTGCAGGGCGGACGTGGCCTCCTGCGGGAGCCTGGACTCCGCCCTGGAGAGATGAGGCCGTTCAGCTGACACTGAGGACTGTTCCGGCCTGGCACAAAGATGACGTCTGAGAGGAACCTTTGGACGATGAGAGACCAGGTAAAAAGCTCTGACACATCCACGTGGGGGGTCAGGCCGTCGGAAGGGGGTGGGACTGAGAGGTGGTGAGGGGTGGGGGACTCGAAGATGCCAGCATCTTGGAGCCAACAGGACTTTCACCTGGACGGGGTGGGGTGGGGCGGGGCTGTACCAGTCTTAGAGCCTGGGCTTGTGGACGGCGGCTCACTTCTCAGGAGAAAGTGGAGAATCTGTCCGCAAAGATGCGCTAAGTGTCCCTCGCCTTTGCAGACCATGTTCAATTCTCCCGGCCTCGTGCGTGGCCCCCATCGCCGACAGGGCTCATGGCACCTGTGCTGAACCGCGGCGGGGGGAGAAGCTGTCTGCTGCACGGCAGCTCCAGGGTAGAGGCTTTGATGTGCACACAGGTGTGAGGCCCTGGACGGCACCTGAGCTCTCACCTGGACACAGGAGTCAGCGAGGCCAGGCACCTAGGTGATTGCACACCGAGAGTGCCAGTAATGAGAAGGGAAGGGAGCAGACAGGAAAAGAAAAGTCAGCCTGGGGAGCTGGTTTCCAGAACCAGGACCAGAGTTCCAAATCCAGCCAGCCTCACACTCACACTCAGCTGCTGGTCCGAAGGTTGGAGATCAGGGCTCCTGCGAGGACACAGAGGGTCCAGGCAGCTCCTTCCAACAAGCCAAAAGGAAGAGCTTTACTGAGGCCCAAACATGGAGTGCCCTGGACCTCCTAAGGGGCAGCCGCAGGGACGTTCCTGGAGGAAGGTTCGCAGCAGTGCCCTCACTGGGCCTGCATGGCCCACACCCAGCACTGTGCTCAGTTTCAGGCAGTGGGTCTTGGAAGCTGTTGTTATCGTTAGCTGCAAGCAAGTCGCTCCAGACTCCACAAGGAAACAAAATGCTGCCCCATCCTGCACCATCCTCATGGTCCGCTGTGGATGGGACCATTGTGGTCCATAGGATTTCTATTGGCTGATTTTTTGGAATTAGATCCCCAGTCCTTTCTTCCTAGTCCCTCTTAGTCTGGAAGCTCCGCTGAAACCTGTTCAGCATCATAGCAACACACAAGCCTCCACTGACAGACGGGTGGTGGCTGTGCACGAGGTGCTTTGGCTGAAAATCGAACCCTGGTCTCCCGCATGGAAGTTGAGAGCTCTGACTGAACCACTGGTGCCCCCTGGGTGTGGGAGGGCTGTGCGATTTGGTGCCAGAGGGCGAGCAGAATGGAGAGAGGACCAGAGCAGATGTGAAGGACTCAGGCGGGAGGCCCCTCCACTGAACACTACAACTTGAAGAACTGTCGGAAAAAGAATCTTTCGGGAGGCAGGATGCTTGTTGTCCCCTGAGATGTTCAGGTCCCATGAGCTCTGACACGCCCGGGTCCCGTGAGCTCTGACACGTTCAGGTCCTGTGAGCCCAGTGGGAGATGGGAAGCTCATGCATGAGTCTGGGTGGGACCAAACGTGGTGGTAAAGGCAGGAGTGTCCAGTCTGACCCACGCTCTGGTTTTAGTCCCTACAACACAGCCTGCTGTGCGTTAGGTGTGGTCACTGCCCAGCAAGTGGTCTTTGAATAGAAGAACAGATGGACACAGAAATGCGTAAACAAGTGGTCTCCTATCCCTTCCTTACAGACTCGGAGTCTACAAGGCGTGGATCAATCAAAGGCAATTCTCTGGCAAGGAACTCTGGGTGCCTGGACTGGAGGCACTGTCTCCCGGAGCCCCCGGTGTGGGAGGCAGGAGGGGCTGCAGGGAGGGGTGGAGGGGCTCGGGGCCACCTGCGTCCTGCACCACTGGCTGTGATGGCGGTTGTGGGGATCCCATGGGAAGTTCCGTGGCCGGGCCCTCTGAGCTCTGTGTCCCAGGGTGTGGTCCCCACGGCAGGCCCTGGCGTCCTGACCCTGAGAGGTGAGAGCAGGCGCCAGCATCCGGCTTCCTCAGTCCCTGGGCCCCGCCAGCCGCAGGCAGCGAGTCGGCCACGTGCGCCCCTCCGTCCGGGGCCAAGGGCGCAGGTTAGGGAAACGGCCCCAGAGGAGCACCAAGCCCTGTGAGGTCTTTGTGGGCCTCCGGGGCTGGAAGCAGTGGGGGAAAACGCCTGACAAGAGCTCGCGGGGAGAAAGGGCAAGTGGTTAGGTAAGGGGCCGTGTCTGGTCTCCTTGAGGCTCAGCACCCAGCAGGGACAGCGGGAGAGGGACAGGCCACTGAGCCCGAGACAGGCAGATGGAGCGGAGGGAGCCCCCCTTCTGTGGGGCGCTATGTCAAGTGTGGCTGAGCCTGGCAGGGACCAGGAAGCCAGGTCTGTGTCCCCAGCAGCTCTGTGACACTGAAGGACCCTCTCAGCTTTTGTCTTCGCTCTTGTGAAATGGGATGATAACAAACCTTCCCCGAAGGGTGGGGGGGATAAGAGGCCCCCCATGGACGCACCTGCAGACAGCAAAGCACCGATGCCATCTCAGGGACCAGCAGAAATGCACTCAGGCCATCCTTCCCACAGAGGCCCCAGGTCTGCTGGAGCCAGGGCCCGGTTAGCCTGCACGGAAGCGCTGCACTGAATGCCTGTCCCTTTGCCGCTCCGGTCATTTCAGAAAGCTCACAACAGTGCGAATGCCCACCACCCTCACGTCATCCCTGGAAGATGCTGAGGAGGCAGGTGACGCGACTTTAGGGTTTCGGAGCACAGAGTAAAGCTGTAAAGATGACTGTAAAACCCTGATGTCAGAGCACGCTGCTTAGACGCGCCCATCCCTGTCCTTTGGCTCGGACCTTCTCTCCAGGCGGGCCTTCCTGGCTACAGATAGACGCAGGACCACGGCCTCTGCAGAAGAACGTGCAGCACCTCGGTAGACCCTCGAGGTACTGAGACAAAGCGCGGCCCCACCTGGCATGCAGTCCTTGGCATGGTTGGGCACCTGGGGTGCCAGCTGAAGGAGGGAGAAACCCCTGCCTGTGGCCCCCCTGGGATGCTGGAGACAGTCCCTCTGCTAGACCTCGGCGCCGGGTACACAGTGCCTGCCAAAACCTAGGCACCGCCAGCCCCAGATACCTCCAACCACAGGGCTCAGGCCCTCCCCCGTCCCCCTTCTCTTCCCAAGTGTCCCCCCATTCCCAAGTGGCCTCGTCCTGTCCTGGGTTTTAAAATCACCTCCCTGCAGTGTCCACCAGGGTTAACTTTAGACTCATAGCCCCACTTCTATTCCAGTGCACTGGTGAACATAAAACTTGTCGTGTCCACAGAGAAGCCTTGATCTGACCTCTGTCTCCACAGACAAAAACGCACTTCCAGCCCCATTCTTTCCCAGACAAGTAAATGTCCTTGATCAGGAAGCTTCTTAAGCCAGAACCCATGAGTCACGGGCTCTTATCTCTCCTCCCCTCCTCACCCAGCTGTCTGGGAGAGCTGTCAGACACCCTGGTCTGTCCTTTCTGCACCACAACCAGACCCTTGGAGCCCCTGGGTGGTACAAATGCTTGGAGGTTTGAGTCTACCCAGAAGAAAGGCCTAGTGATCTACTTCTGGAAAAGCAGCCATTGAAAACCTGTGGAGCGCGGTTCTACTGTGACTCACATGGCATTGACTTACGGCAACTGGTTGGTTGGCTAGGAGACCACTGGCCATTGCTACCACTTCCCTCTGAGAATTGCGTGTGGGTTGGTCATGGAAATGGCCCCTTCCAGGACCCAAAGGCTTCTGTCCTTCAGCCACAAGCTGTGAGCCCTCAGGACATCGCTTCACCACATCTGACTAAATCTCAGACGGGGATACCACCACCACATCATCCTGGGCACTGTAAGTCCCAGGGAGCACAGCACACTTAGAAAACGCCTGGTGCTGGTAAGCATTGGGTAGGTATGGCCA